GATCCCCAACAACGTGAAGACGGCTGTGTGTGACATCCCACCCCGTGGTCTAAAAATGTCTGCCACCTTCATTGGTAGCAGCACAGCCATCCAGGAGCTGTTCAAGCGCATCTCAGAGCAGTTCATGGCCATGTTGCGGCGCAAGGCCTTCCTGCACTGGCACACGACGAGGGCACGGACGAGATGGAGTTCACTGAGGCTGGCAGCAACATGAACGACCTGGTGTCTGAGTACCAGCAGGACCAGGACACCACAGCTGAGGAGGAGGGTGAGCTTGAGGAGGAGGCCGAGGAGGAGGTGGCCTACAGCTGTTAGCTGGTGGAGTGTGGAAGCGGTGAGAACTCTTTATTCACCCACAGTCTGCTCTGATGATAACCCTGCCTCACTGTGTGCACTGCTGGCTCTGTCTTGACATCACATCCTGTACAGATACCATTAAAGCATTTTCACAGTGAAAAAAATAAAATAAAAATAAAAAACTCTAGTGACAGGGTGCTATGGTTTGTGTCTAGGTGTCCCCTGAAAGCCTCATGCAGTCATGGGGTGGAGTCGGTGATTGGATCTTGATGCAGGGCTGGGGTGGTGGGTATGCATGCTGCACCCGCCCTGGGTGGGTCACCTGTACTAAATGTAAGGAGGGGAGAGAGGCTGGCTAGCTGCTGAGCCGCTGCCCCTCCCCTTTGCTGTTTGCCACTGCCATGAACGGCTGCTCAGTGCCGTGTGCTGCTCTGCCTTGGAGCCAGCCAGGTACGGACTGAAACCTCCACTAACTGTGAGCTAAATAAACCTTTCCTTCCTTCATTTGGGGTGTTGGGTATTTGTCTCAGCAATGAGAGAAAAATAATCAAAACACAGGACAATAACAAGGCCATAATAAATTCTTTATTCTGGAGAACACTGGCTGCCATTGTCACCACCACTGACTTTCTCTGGGTCAGAGGAGCCACTCATGACTGCACTGTCACTAGACACCAAGCACCTGGAGCAGCCTGCAGGGCTTGGATACAACAGAGGAGCCGGGTGTCAGACAACACGAGGCCCTGCACCCTCATTATTGGGTGGGCTAACTACAGGAAAAGAGGAGCGCCACCCAGCCTAACTGAATCACCAGTCTCCTCAAAAATGTCTGCCAGAGCGTGTCCCATAACACTCATTTGCTGGACAAAAACAAGGTGACAGTTGAGGAAGGGATCTCGAGAGGAAAGGCCCAATTTATGACCCAACTGAACACAGCAAGACAGTAGTACAGGGATCCATTAAGACAACGCTGTGGGCACAGACACCCGGGCCCGGCTCCCACTCACAGATGACCACGTGATTCATGGCATAAAGACGTTGTAAACGGTTCGCAGATAGACGTCATCAGGGGGTGGCTTCTTTTTGCTGCCAGGTTCAAGAAATCTCTTAATTGTAGGGATGTTGCATAATTTCACTGAGTACTCCTTAAAAGGAAAAGCACAAAAGTTTGATGTTAGAGCAGAAAAATTAGCAGCTATCAAAGCATGGTGTCTCATTAAAACTTGTTCAGTAAACGTTTGTTGAAGGGATCTTACTGACCCCAGAATCCAGCCTCTGTTCAAAGTCTCACCTTCAGGTGCGGCTGTTTATAATTTTTGTCATCAATGGCAACATTAATACCAGTGATTGTACCAGTCTCACAGTTCACACAGGATATGAACTCATTTCATAGACGGCAAAGGAAAAAGCGCACTGAGGAGCAGGACCCTGAGACCTCTGCTCAAAGAGGAAATGGCCCTAGAAGTGCGTAGGATGTCGCTGGGCCCAACAGCATGAGAGCCGCCCACACACAGGCCCCGAGAAACCATCGGACGGTGTGCCTTACACACCAAACTCTATCCTCCCGGAACTTCTTACTTCTATTAGCAAATGGGCGCTTCTTCTGCTGTGTGGGATGGCCGATGTGTCTGTCATAGCATACAGCTCAGATGCCAAGTATTTTTTTTTTTTTTTTTTTTTTTTTTTGTGGAACTGGGGATTGAACTCAGGCCCTTGCACTTGCCATGGAAGTAAGTGCTTATTCCACTGAGCCATCTCCCCGGTCCCTCAGATGCCAAGTATTTTTAAAAGAACTTGGCAGTACTGAGGATTGAATCCAGGGCCCTTGCACTAGGTTACATCCCCAGCCCTTTTAAGTTTAGGGTTTCTTTCTTTTTAACTTTGAGACAGGAACCTTGCTAAATTGTCCAGGCTGGGTTTGAACTTGGGATCCTCCTACCTCAGCGTTCCAGACTGCTGGGATTATGGGCATGCACCACCACACCCCACTCACATAATCAAGTATGCCCAATCTCAATCTGAGAAGGTTTTTTTGCTACTTCAGGCTGCCTTAAGGGCAGGTCTGGTACAGCATCTGGAGCTGGGAATCAGACCGTGGTCCTATACGCCTGCCTGGGTTTACCCAAGCGGCGCTTTAAACAACTGAGCTGTCCGGCAAAGCCCTCTTAAAAAACTGAGAAGCGTTTTTTTTTTTTCAATCTGAGAAGAAAGGCCATCTGGTCTACTGAAAAATTTTAGTCATATATATAGAGTAAACATTAATTATTTTATTAAAATGTTTTAAGAGGCTATCGCTATTTTTAAGAAGCGATTCTTAGTAATAGCCTATTATGCACAAGTCACAGCGTAGCGAAGCATACAAACATGAATGCACCGGTCATTATGATTGATAAAAATACTAACATTAATTGGTTATATATAATCTGTTTCCATTATTACTTAGTTCTCTGTGTGTTATCTAATTTCATGCCAAAATTTGGAAGCTTGTTCCAAAGACTCTCATTTCAAGACATACTTGGAGTCTATATTTGGGTCTAACAAAACTTTTGTGCCTTTCCTGTACCCTTTATCAGGACAGGTGGCACCTCAAGCCACAGCTGCCATCAGATTCTAGTCTTTCCATGTTGACGCCCAGTCTGCTCAGTGACTGACGGACGAATGCTGGTGTTTAAGAACATGTTGTTAAGGTCTTTAAGAAAATAGCCACAGGCCTGGAGCAGCAGTCGACTGAGAGAACTAGGCGTCTTCCCGACCCTAGACCAGGGAGGCGCCTTCCTCCAGCGCTCGGCGTCACGGACAGCCCACCTGGCACTCGCGCCAGGCCGCAGGTCTGCGACCACGCCCCAGCGCTGCAGCCTTTCCAGCGTGCGAGGAGCAAGCCGCACTGCCCGCGAGGTTTGTGCGTTTGTCCACCGCAGGGAGCGGCTGAAGCCAGCCAGACGCAAGGCGCGCTGGGGAGCACAGGGAGCCCCGCGCGGCCGGCGAGCGCGCGTCCCGGCTGCAAGCTGGCTGCTGGCCCAGGCTGCAGTGGACATCAACCTCCTGAGGGCACAGTGAGCGCTCTGTGTTCCTGGGCGGCTCTTCTCTCACCGGGAGAGAGCGCTACCGACCTCCGCTGTGTCTTAGTTTCTCCATCCCCACCTGAATGCTCCCTAGACCCATCGAGAGCCGCGTGGTGGCAGTACACAAAAACACGCGCAAACTCAGGACTTCCGATGTGATAAGCGTAGGAAATACTCTGCGGTTTGACTTTCATGGACTCACTGAGTCCATGCGTATTTTCAAAAAATATTATTCTAGGGTCGGCCAGATAGCTCAGCCGATGCAAGAGCCTGCGCAGGCAAAGCGCAGGGACAGGGCGTTTGATCCCTGGCCCAACAAGCCATGCCGGCCCGTGCCAGGGGAGCTGAGAGGCGACTGAGACTGGGCGTGGCGGCACCTGCCTGTAATCCCAGTGCTTGGGAGGGAGGCTGACACAGCAGGGTCACTATGAGTCGGATCTGTGCACTGAGACCTTGTAGACCCTGTACTAAAATACTTAAAAAAAATTTAATCTAAATTATTTATCATGGATTGTTGTTATGTCACACGATTTTGTGGTTGTGTACAGTACTGTGTAGTATTTATGGCTTTAATGATTTTTGCCTAAAAGTTTTTAAAATATATAA